CAAAACTCTGTCACTTCACAGGACTTCCACCTGGTTGTCACCTGCAAAAATATCTTCTGCATTTACCATTTTTTCTCTTCCTTTTCTCTCTTCTTTATGCTCTGCCTTAAGTTTTCTTCAACCCCTGGCCAGTCAACCTTTCTCTGCCATCTAGCCGGTATCTGAATTTTTCTACTTTTATAAAATTATCTGCTATATTTGATTCTTCAGCTTCAATCTGTTTGTTAAAAGTCCTGGCTGAGCTTCTTTTGTCTGGGTATGAATATAATCATGTCTATAATTCTTTTCTTTGTATTACTCCTGAAACTTTCCTTGTTTTAGTTTGTGGCTTGCCTTTGTTTTGAGAATCAAAGTAGTTTTAGCTGTATGATTTTTCTGTTGTGTATGTAAGGTTTGACTTCTTAACCCCCTGTTTGGTTCCCTAGAAAGAGGACGAAGCTTTGAATTTCATATGCATGTGTGGTTTTTTATGGGAATTTTGGGTGGAAATATGTTCTATGCTATCTCAGCAAAGTAGGGTAAATTTGATTTTGCAGTTTTCAGAAGGATTGAAGCTGATCAAATATAATCCTTTCTTTCTGTGTGTATGCATATATATCTTATCCTTTTTTGTTGATATTCGATACAGTGATCTTGCCATTTATTTCTTATCTTTACACTTAATGTCTCTGCTCTTGTCTATGACCATATTAATCTCGCTTCAGCTAGCGAATTCACACTTCCTATATGCCCTTTTGTTGCTTGCTTCATGAAGCTTAGATCATATATAGACTGTAATTATCTTTTAACTTAGTGATGTTGCTTCAGGAATCTTCCTTGTATCCATGAAGTTTACGAGGGGTAAAAGGGCCTTAAAGAAGGATGCAAATGAACCATCAAAGCCTGTGGAGGACAAAATAGTCTTGTAATATTGCCTAGTTGAATAGCTGATTACTGAGTTATTTAATTCATTCTGGTTTTACCAGTGAGTGAATTCCAGTATCATGTTTTAGTTTCTTCCTCTCAGGAAGGTTGGAAAGCGGAAAGCAGCAATACAGGCTAGTAAGAGCACCGAAAAATTGGCCAAGAAAATCAAATCCGGGGATAAAGATCCAAACAAACCTAAGAGGCCTCCTACTGCTTTCTTTGTTTTCCTGTAAATTTCTTGCATGATCAAGCTTAGATTTTTTTTCTGGGTTTTTTGTACTTCTTTTTGGGAAGATTGTATTGAAAAATGACTTTTTAAAACTGCAGAGAAGAGTTCAGGAAGGTTTACAAAGAAGAGCATCCCAATGTGAAGGCTGTCTCAGCTGTAAGTAGCGAACTATAACATCATTCACTTACGGTTCACTTATTTTTTGAGTTCATAAGCTCATAAAAGTAACTAAAAAATTTGTTTGCTAAAATATACAGTCCCATGACTTTTTTTTTTGCTAAAATAATATAGAAACTTCTGGATTTGGTTTGTTAAGGCTTCTTTTCTTGTATGATAAACTGAGTTGGGCATTGGATTTTACGGTTGAAGGTAGGGAAAGCAGGAGGACAGAAGTGGAAATCCATGACACAAGCGGTAAGTGCTAAGATATATACATCCTGGAAGAAACTTCAATTGATTATGTTTTGTTTTTGAGGGCAAGAAGTAATGCTACTGTAATGGTCACTTTAACTTGGAAATGCTATGGATTCTGTTCGTAAAGGTGATACATAAACACCGCACTATCGCTCCCACTCGACCTTGCAATGCACCTGGCACGTGTTTGATGACTTTGATACATTGATGCATGGCCAAACCAACGCGTAATATGGTAACTCCCGGGGCCTGAAGAGTTTGAAGGAATACTGGTTGCTGAAATTGAGACATACATATGTAAATAATGTCCACAAGGATGGAAAATTTATAAATAAACAAGTTTAGTGGAAATAACTAGTTATGGTAGAGGCTAAAATAAGTTGTCATAGTAAGTTCTCTCCATCTGTGGTTTGTACCTGGAATTTTAAATCTTAGCGATGCTCTGTAGTTTAGCCTGATTATTTTCTGCTGGGGCTTGGATTTGGCAGGAGAAAGCTCCTTATGAAGCAAAAGCAGCAAAGAGGAAGTCGGAATATGTGAAGCTCACGACAGCTTACAAGAAGAAACAGGTAGCTTTCTGTCCTTCAAAGTTTACAAAATAAAGAAATTGATGCATTATTTATTTCTTTATCTTAGATACTCCATTGACTTGCTGATGTTTCATTCAGGAGATTGTGGACGATGAGCGCGATGATGAAGGCGATGACAATGCCGAGGTAATTAAATCAAGCTATATATCACCCCTTCGAGGATATCTCTCAATTTTGGCACAAGTATCAGTTATTATGTGATAGTGGATCTTAATTCATCATATCCTAAACTAGATTAATGCCAATGATAACTTGAATTTTCATATTGAAAAATATGGTTATACGCAGACCACAAATATTATCGAAAGAAATGTTATCATAAACCGTGATACTCCAATCACACATCAGAAAAAACAAACTACCTTTATATATGAGAGGTCAAGTCGTTTATTGCTAACAATTTGAACTTAAGTTCTGAAAGCAAGTAGTTTGAGCCCAAAATGTTTTTGGACACTGGTACTTATGTTAAGGCATTAACATTTAGTAGTAGAGTAAGTGCTAGTCGTGGCTGGAGATGATCAATGGGGCAGCTTACTCGCTAACCTGCCTAGATCCATCTTGTTTGAGATGAGTAAATCTGTAAAATATAATGAATGATATAGGACGGATATGGCTAGAACAAGTTATACCTGTAACAGGTACAGGTCGGTATGAAGGATGTATCCACCCCCTTGTTTAAAAATTTACCATGCATAATGTGTATAGAGCTTGGGTTTCTATTAAATTTTTATGTTTGAAGTTTGATTTAAATGTTGAGTAATATTTTTATTTTTAATGTTATATCAATTACTACATGTTTTCTTTTAATTTTTGGACAAAATACATTGTAATCGAGAGGTGGGGCAAGCAGGTAATAGGCCGGGTTAATTAGTACGGTTTTAAATTATGATTTGTAATGGTAATATGTGATCTTAATGAAACTATGAATCGTTTAAATCATAGGGATTTAAATATTCTACTCGCACATTGAAAATACATGACTTTTATGATATGTAATTCTTATGAATGGTGCTGGTTATGCAACAAAGATACAATTTTTTCTTTGTAATTATGATACAATATCTGTGTTGACACAGTCATTGCTTGTTTATTAATAGAATGAAGAAGAAGAAGAAGATGATGATGATGATGATGATGATGATGATGAAGAAGATGATGACTGAAGTTGGAAAGTCTTGTTTCTGGTCCTACAAATGATAAGTGAAGATGCTAAATTTTGAAGTTTCTGTATGTATATGCCCTGTGTGCAGTTCATTTCTTCAGTGGGAAAAAAGAAAAGAAGAGAAAAAAAAAAAAATTAAGCTCTAAATGCTTCCATATGTATTAGCTGTCTTAAGTTTGATTCTATACTTTCTGATTGATGTTAATATTTCTACACAATGCATCTCCAAGTTATTATGTGTGTGTGTATGTATGTATGTATATATATATATATATGTATATATAGTGATTAAAAATTTCATTGTTTGAGAAAATAAAGGAAAAAACTCTCTCTTCATAGTGATTTTTTTAAGATGTGATATTTGCAAAATTTGGGACAAATAGTAAATTTGTCCAGCTTGATTTAGTGGGTGTATAATTTTTTGTCATTAATCATTAATGTATTATACTGTTGTGGTAATCAAATTATGTGAAATTAACTTTTTTAATTGAATAGTTACTATAGATTAATAAATTTTTAGTATTAAAAAAGTTTGTATAAATTCTTGTGGGGGGGGGGGGGTTATAAATACATATATTTATCTCTAATTTTCTATTTATATGTATGTAGTATTTCGTAGGCCCATTATCGTGGATAGTATAGAAATAGCTTATGGGCTGAGAACCTCTCAGCCCATCAACTTAAAAAAAAAAAACAACAATAAAAAATCATAAATATTAAATGCAAAAAATTAAATCATAAAGTAGTAAATTTATTTGAAACATATTATTAAAATCAAATTATTATAGTGATTATTATTATAATAGAAATAAAAGCCACCTGCTTTCCAAGTAATAAAAATACATATTATATATATATATATATATAGATATATACGTGTGAAAAATATTCAGCTTTACCATAATTAATCTTTGATTAAAGAAGAACGGGAAAAAAAGGAGAGGAGATAGGCTGTAAAGAAGAGAGGTGAAAGATTTCACATCTCATGTCCAAAACATGTTGGCATAAAGTGAAGCATGTGATGGTCACATGGTCGCCAGCTATGCGCCTAAGTGGACTACACCATGTACCATCATCATCATCATCGTCGTCATCATCGTCTTTCACATATGGAACTACACCAACTGCCACCATCATGATCATCATCATCATCATCATCATCATCATCATCATATGGACTACAACTAATGCACTATTTTTTTTTTTTTAAATTATCTATTTATCAATTAAATGTAATTATAATATAATAAGAATAACTTTTAAATAAATATATATATATATAAAGCATAAATTCAAACTTATAATTTTTTATAATAAAAAACATATTAACTTTTCAATTAAAGGCATTAAAGATGACATAAAAAAATGAATTAAAAATATCCCATTACATATATATATATATGTATATATAGTATGCACATGTGTGAATGGGATTATTAATTTTTCTTGATCATATAATTAAACAATGACCCGAGCCTTAAGCTCTGTCCCCTATTTTTCAAGCAACAAGCAAGAAAAACACTATCTCCACAACATTAATTAAAAAAAAAAAAAAAAATAGTGAATCAATAATTGCTTTATTACTTTTTACTGTTTATAAATCTCTTCCTGTGAATAAAAACAAATGTTAATAACCAATTAATTATTTATTAATTAACTAATTAGGTTATGAAGTGCATTTTTTTTTTTAATTTTTTTAAATGATATAAATATTTTTGAGTCAATTTTTATACCCAACTTAAAATTTTGATCAATCTGATCTAACACATATTAAAATATGTTGTAAGAGCAAATATATATGAAATTAAAATTCAAATAATTAAACATAATTAAAATAAGACAAGACAAGACAAAGACTATGTCAAAAAGTAATTAAAATATTTTTAGCATAAATAATGAAATATAAACAATAGTGACCCTAACCCAATGTTACAATATATATGTATGTATCAAATCATTTTAAAATTCTCCACATATGTACTTCCAAATTAGAAAAACATAATGTCACGAGTGGGTGCATGTGGTGTACGATTTCCATTAATGGAGGCTCGGAGTTAGGTTTTTGAAATTCTTCAACTTTTTTTAGTCATTGATTTTGATTCATGTAATTTGGGGATTTAACCAATTTCAATCAAGGAAACATGAAATGTAATTTCACTTGACAATTTAGAAATTCAATCAAATCTTGTTCCCTTACCTATCGACCCATTTGGACTCTCATGCCCTAGCTAGCTATTTTGAGCGAGTGGCATCATTATTTATGGTGCTTATTAAACTTGTTTGGGTTAAATAAAATTTTATAGTAGAATTATAATTTAACTTGAATTTATAATTTTTTTTTGTATAAAAATAAAAATACTAATAATTCAACTATCATTATATGTAATTTTTTAGAAAAATAATCTTTTATTATCACAAAAGTATCATTACGTAGTTACACATATAACTAATTATTGATTAAAATCATGTCTTACATTACCCTAAAACTTGTAATTAAGATTAGTCATGAGAATTTTAAGTTAAATTTTGTATAGATTGTAATTTGTAATATGAAAGAAATAAGGATTTATAGAAATAGAAAATATGATTTCCTAACACTTGGATCATAATGTATATAATTTGTTCCATTCTTTTGTGCGTGGATATATGTCACCACATTCAAATTAAAGATTCAATAATTAATGGGTTGCACATGCAAGGCCATGTGCTATATTACACTTCTATGTCTCAATTCCTACCCAAGAGGCATCAAATAATTATATAAAAATAAACTAATTAATATTAATATTTATATAATATCAATCCAAAAATTTTTTTATTTATAAGTATATATAATATAGTCTTATAAAAAATGAGGTAAATAATTTGTAAAGATAAACATGTTAACTAGCTTTATATATGATTATTTTACAAATATTCGAATATACACACACACATATATATATATAAAGCTTTCTTTTAAAAAATTATTCTTTTACTTTTCAATATTTTATTTTATTAAAAAAACAGAAATCATGAATTGAAAAAAGAAAAAGCTAAGCTAATTAACTAGTAGTTGGGAGGTTGTTTTCAATTAAATATGTTAAGGGACGCAAAGTGCCAAAAAAGCAACAAAATAAAGAGGATATATACTAGGAATTATCCATTGAACATATTATATAATTATATATACATGTACATACATATATTTAAGCATTTATTATTTATGATTTTTAAGCTTAATTTATAATTGTACATGTTATTTTCTAAATAGTAAATTAATGGTTTAAAATTTTTTAAATAATAAAATATATTATCTTTTAATTATTTATATTTACACATACTAAGATAATATATTATATGTCTAATTTATTTGACACATGTAATTGTTGAAACTTGTTTCTTTTATTATTATCATTACATTAACTTCCACAATAATCTTATAATAAAGTTTTAATTAATTACATAAATTTAATTTGAAATAAAAATGGAAGAAATTAGCATATATATGTGTAAGAAGAAGACAAAAAGGATAGGATAGAAAAATGCATGTGAGGGTGGAGCGTGGGAGTCGCTATCGAAACAATAAATGGTGCCACACGTGCAAGTCTGACAAGCTCCATTCGTGCGAGACCAGACATCGGGAAGTGTACAAACAAAAAACATACGTTTTGTCAGTCCCACACGTGTGGCCCCACTCTTCCTGTCTCCCCCGCCGTTGACTCTATTACGTCACCTACACCCCCCCCCCCTTCTCTCTCTCTCTCTCTCTCTCTCTCTCTCTCTCCTTTTTCTTTTTCCCTTCTATCTTAAAATTGGGCATTTAATATATATATATTAAAAAACTTATTTAGAAGTTTTTTAAATTTAATTTTAAATTTTAAACGTAATATGTTTTAATTAAATTAAAGATTAATCACTTTATTATTTGTTTTTAATTACTTGTACTAGATTAAAACAAAAAAAATAAAGAAACTGATAAATTATGAATTTGAGTTTTATCAATTGTATATATTAAATCGCATATCAAAATTTATATAAGATAAAATTTTTATTATTTTAAGGAAATTTTTGTATCTTTTTCTAATTAAATTAAATTAAATTAAATTACATCAAATACATGTTATAAAACAAAAATTCAAGATACCAACAAGAAAGTAGGAAATTGATAGATATATATAATAATGGATAAGGCCAATGAGACTAATTTCAATTATATATATATAAATATGTATGGAATGATTTTATATTAATTGTTATATTGCGACCCAATAATTGGTGTCCATCTTTACATGAATAGCAATTAATTAAGCATGACAAGCCAAAATAAAAGAATGTAGACAAAATAGTATTTTATTTTATACCTTTCGCTCTATCCAAATTCTTGTGATGTTATCAAGAATTTTCTCATTGTCGCTACAAATAATCTCTCCCATATTCCATAATTTATTTTTCAAAAACAACTTCACTTCAGGTGTGTGTGTGTGTGTGTATATATATATATATTTCCCAATATTTTTACAATATATATATACACACACACACACATACATGTTAAGATGAGATCATATCATTTGCAAATAATTGAGTGATGAATATATCAATTATAAGTTTCCCCACTAAACAGACATGTAATAATGAAAAAAAAAAAGTAAAATAATAATAATAATCTTGGATTCCATATTATCAATTAATCATGTTTAATTCAAATTATGTATTTTTATAATTTATTTTTAACAAATAATAATACAGATTTCATGGTATTTTATTAAAAAAAAACTAATTTAGTTATACATAAAATGTAAATTACGAATGTAAAGACCCAAAATTTAAAAAAAAATAAAGTCATGAATTAAGTACGAAAGAAAAATAATAGAATTTAAGGTTTAAATTCCTTACACAATAATTTAGAATGCCCAATAGTGTTACATGAATGTTTATTCTAAAACAAATTATGAAAATCAATAAAATAAATAAAAAATCAATAACTAGATATTTTAGGACAACATTCACTAACTTTTAAAGAGAGTACGGGTGGTGAACTATTCACAACCCTCTTATTGATCAGAATATGGATCTTGTTCTTATAGATCTGAAATAATTATTGAAAAGGTGAGCTACACTAGCACAGTAAGAATATTACACAACTCACCGATACAAAAATTGAAAGTTGATAAAAATCATAAATGTAACACCCAACATTTATTGATTTTTATTATATATATATAATTATTTGTTAATTGAATTTAATTTGGTTTA